AGATAGAGAGAAATATACTTTAGTTTGTAGGTAAATGTCCAAAATTTTCAACAAAAATGGTTCCATTCACAGTGAGCAAGGGCAAGGTAAGGTAAAAGGCTTGCGCGATATCCACATCTGTTATGGAGACAAGCCTAATTTCAACTTCTGAATTTCTGTTTCTTCACACGTGGGATAGCGTGTTAGGAAGGGGAATATAGAGTGCTGATATGCCGATGCACGGCAAGACATCTGTCGGAAACTTCGGCGCATAGTACGGGTAGACTTCGCTGCCCCTAGTTCAGAGTGAAGAGGATGAGCGATCTCACCAAGAATGCGATCAGCAAATTGCTTGACCGTTTTACAGTGTCGCTGTTTTATAATATCAGCTAAAACATAGGGAACACCGGCAGCTTTCTCTGCTATTCGTTAGGGGCCTCGTACAAGCGTTCCTTACCACTTCCTAGCATCATGCAAGCATGCCTTGCCAAAATGACTATCTTTTGATCACGCGCGCACACACCTTTCTTTAGAAAGGTCTCATGAGGTGTGTCAGTAACTGCATCTGGCAGCCGCTTGTTGAGCCTCAAGTACGTCAACCACGACAGCACTGGTCTTCAGAGTCGCATACCTCGTGGCACAGTAATGAACTATCACACAAACCAATCTCTCCTTCGGGTCCCCGGCACTTTCGTGTCATTTGACAATCATAGTTCCCCGAAACACACAGCACTATCCCCTGTTCATGAGGGATCCATCCACGGAAAGCGCCTGACGCGACATCTCCAGCGCCATGAAGATCCGTGTGTACTGCACATCCGTCCGGTCAGTCCTCCTCTATGGATGTGAATGCTGGGTCTTGAGCGTTGGAGAGGTGCGAGGCCAGGAGGTATTTGACCACCGCTGTCTAAGGACCATCATTAGAGTGAAGTATGCCGACCTAATCTTAAATGAGACAATCCGCACTCGCTGTGACAGTATCGCGAGGATAACTTAGGCCATTTAAGAAAGAAAGACGGGCGAGGTGGTTTGGGCACGTTCTCCGTCGTTCGTCTCACGAGCTTTGTTGTGCTGCCTTCCATCCGACGCCGCAGCTCACCTGGAGGCGTCGAAGAGGTGGGCGACTTAAGACTTGGCTCGACAGCGTTCGTAGAGAAATGGAAGCAGTTCATAGGCCTTTGGTTTTCGGTCTCTGTCGCTGGAGAAAAGAGTAGGTGGTACTTTCCAGATCTGCTGCCGTCAGTCACCGCGCGTGGAGAGGTACCGTCTGTGACATCACTGAGGCCGGCCAGGTCAGGCATAATCGCAGCCGTATCAAGCTATCCTTTGATTGCCCTTCTTCCGGTGCCTCAGTTGTTTTGCGCCTTTTTAAACTTCCTGTGCTGTCAG